GCTGGCCTCCAACTCACAGTGCCTACCTTTGCCTAGGACTAAATGTGCCGCCATTTGCAGCCATATCTCAGTCTTAAAGGAGAAGGAAGCCTGCCACATGCTACATCAGTGATGAACCCAAAGACATTGTGCTAAAAGTGTGACAGTCACAAAAATGAACACTGGGTGATTCCACTGTGTTAACTGTTCACAAACAGACAGACAATGGCTGCCGGTGGCTGAGAGGAGGAGAAGTAAGGTTTGTGATCGGTAGAAAGGTCCAGAAGGGCAGGATGGACATTCTGTAGGTGGACGTGCTGCTGCTCAGCACGTAGGTGGAGTCACACCAGGTGCACACTGGGAAGGGTGTAAGGTGATGAGCTTTGTTTTACACAGTTAAACATGTTTGAAGTCAGTGTGAGGAGTTACGCAGTCAGAATCACTAAAGTAGTCAGTTATTAATAAAGCAGTTTTGATCACAAAGGGACATGTTAGGTGATTAAATTACAATTTGTTTGTTTTCTTAAGTATTGTGTAGGGTTTTTAACCAGTATAACACTACAGAAGAAAGAAAAAAATGTAGTGACTTGCTCTTTCCCTGGGCCGGTTTACATTTTGTTCACGGGTTTACTTCTGTGTGTTGTGCAGGTGTGTGTCATGTTTGTGTTGGTGTGCGTGTGTGAAGACCACTGGTCAGCCTTAGGAGCTGTCCACGTTGCTTTTGAGACAGGACCTGTCATTTGGATCTAGGGCTCACCCATTCAGCCACAGCGCTGTCCTGTGCGACCTGGGATCCTCCAGTCTCTGCTTCCCAGGGCAGGGGTTAGCAGCATGTGTCCCCAGACATGGCTTTCACATGGAACTGGGGCTCTAACTCAGGGCCTCACACTTGACCCGTTGACTGGCAGAGCTCTTTCCTTGGTCTATACAGCTACAAGGTATAAATATAGAATATTCAATATTTTGTTACAAATTGAATAGAACTCCTAGAATCGATACATTGTGTTTGAGGTAGTAAAATCAAGACCCAGATAAAAATGTAAGAATAAGTTTTTAATGTATTGTTGTCATAGTCTTTCTGCAAGACAAAGACCCGAAAGATGAAGAGTCTGTGATGTCCATGCTTCTGGCCCCGTGTTCTAAGGAGTGTGGGCGGCAGGGTTTAACTAGCTGCACACGAGCTTTTGCTTTAGCTCACTTTGCATTCCCTGAGTGACACAACTGGCTCCCGCTGAGCTGAGCGCTGATCCGCACACGGTGCCCACGAGTGACCTGGGCATCAACCCTCTGTAGCCACAGACCGCACAGAGCACAGTGCAGTCGATCACTGGGGGTTCGATCCTTTCCAGGGAGGGTGCACACAGTTGGCAGTGTGGCCTGTCTGAGGGTGCTGGCGTAGGCTGGGCTGTCGTGTGACGTGGGGAGTTGTGAACAGGCCGGGCTCTGCTCTGGATTAGACAGTTAGGGTGTGGGGTGACCCTGAGCTAGAGAGGAAGGACTTCTGGAGCAATGGGACTGGGGTGACCTGTGGCAAGATGCCGCAGCCGTCATCGGCCAGGAGACAGCTGTTTGCTGTTTTGTAGGGTTCACGGTGACCTTATTTGTTTATCCAAGCTTAGGTGAAATTTTTAGGCGTGCTTGTTTTGTCTGAGTTTATGATGGTTATACAGTGACCTCGTCTGATGCTGGTGTTTTATAAGCTTGTTTATGTCCAATTGGAGAATGACACGGCCTTGCTCTGAGCCCCAGCCAATCTCAGACAGCACGGAAGCCGAGCTACATGTGTCTGCACACCTGGAGGGTACTAAGGGCTGCATTTTAAATTCTCTTACTAAGAATCCTCTTAAACCAAGGACCCGTGCACTTTTCCCAAGAACATTGTTTCAGTAGATGCATAAAATATGAGCATTAATGTGTAAAAAGGAAGAGGTGCTACCCCTGAGAAACTTAGAGAAAGACTTGTCAGGAGAATGCTAAAAGCATTCTTGAAATGCCATTGAATTAGAGGTGGATAAAGCAGTTAAAGTAGATGGCCTTCAGAACACTTCATACTGATTGCCTGTGCTGTTCAGATCTTGTTCCGAATTAAGGGGACTTGACTGTAATCTGGAATGGCCACACTCACAGACAAAGCCTCAGCCACTAACATACTATGAGTTAATAAGCTTCCATGTTTTACATTTTCAAATGACGTGTGTGTATGTAGTTCTGCATGATTCTCTACTTACCAGTCTAAAGTCCCAGCCCTGCTCATAGCAGTCACACACAAGCTTTCACCATACAAAGAACCATGCATTTAGATACAAGGTTGTTTATTGGAATCTGAGGATTGTAAAAGCAGCAACCTAAACAAGACATGGAATACTGGAGTTAAAAAAGGTCATGTGTTCAGACATCAAGAGAAGCGTTTTTATAACGAACTATGTTGAGGAGCTACAGAGCCAAAGAATGACCATCAAGTTTTAAAACTAGGCATGTTAATCCAGGAGTGGTGGTGCATGCCGGTAACCCCGGCAGTCAGGGAGGCAGAGACAGGTGGCTCTCTCTGCGTTCAAGGCCAGCCTTGAAGTGAGTTGAGGTCAGCCAAGACTACACAAGGAAACCCTGTCTCGAAAAACCGAAAGAAAGAAAAATAATAGGTGTGAAAAAAATTTAACATACAAATAAGCAAAAATTATGTATATAATTTAAAGGCAATCAACCAGAAATTTGACTGTTTCCTCGGTTGCGAGGATTTCAGAAGTTTTCAAATTGTGTTTTCTGTGCTTCAGTGTTTTCTTGGTGTTGCTTTTCAGAAATCAGGCCAGGGGAAGTGGTAGGTAGTTCACAGCTGTGATTCCACACGTGCGAGGTGGGGCAGGAAGCGAGGGGTCAGGGCTCCACTGGGTAAGGAAGGAGCCTTGGGTGTGTGAGATCCTGTCTCCACAGTCGCAGCAGCAACCGTGCAGGTGCCCTCCTGTGGCGACACGGCACTGCGGGTTCCTGGAAGGGGGGGGGGGGGGGTGTGCTTTTTCGTTAATACCATTTCCCTCCAGTTTTTGCGGCTTTCCATGCGCCCACCAGCAAGTAAAGCACATTTTAAAAGAAGAATGGGTAGCCAGGGCTGGTAAGAGAGTGGGTAAAAGCAAAGGCTGCCCAAGCCTGGTGGCTAAGTACGACCCCTGGAGCGGCGGAAAGGTGGAAGGAGAAACCAGTGCACCTCCACGTGGGGTACAGCATGGCCCGCACACATCACACGTTCGTCATACATGCGCCCTGAGGCGTGAGCTGGAGGGGAAGACACAGCACTTAGGAGGCTGAGGCAGAAGGCTTTGAGGCAGCTGAGCCGTGTGAGAAGGCCCTGTGTCAGAGAGCCAAACGAGGGGGGTATTTGTGGTGAGCACGATGGCAGCAGCTTCCGCTGTTGGACACATACCCGACACGGCATGCTGTGCCGTGCACTTGGAGTAGGTGCTGTTACCAACATTTTCAGGTCAGGACACAGGTTTTCAAAGCTAGTAAAAGGCGGATCTGAGGTTGGAATTTAGCACCTTTAACCCCTAAAATGCATGTCTTCTCTCTAGTAATGAAGATGACCTTGTTACATGAAAGGAGTTCAGAACTGAATGTATAATATGCTGTCATTTGTGGGATTGTTTTGTATTGCTTTGGTTTGGTTTGGTTTTTTGGGGACAGGCTTGCACTACGTAGCCCTCGATGTCCTGGACTCACCCTGTAGACCAGGCTGGCCTCAAACTCAGAGATCTGCCGTCCTCTGCCTCCCAGGTGCTGGGCTTAAAAGCCTTTGTCACCATCATCGCCAGATGAGTCAGGTCTTAATTATAAGCATGTATTATGTGAAATTGTAACTAAGTGGAGCTGATGTTAAGTAATGAAGACTAAGCAAAAAGAGCAAATGCTTTTTTTCTGCTGCTCTCATTCACACAGGGTCCCTTGATCCTAATGGACCTCGACTGCTTTTCTGTCACTCCCCTTCCTCTGAGCTTCATTGCATCTGTCCTACTTTGGATGCTTAAGTGATTTTTATTAATTTTTTATATCTTTTAAAAATGTATTTACCTTTATTTTATGGTGTTTTGCCTCCATGGACGTCTGTCTCAGAGTGTCAGATCTTGGAGTTACAGACAGTTGTGAGATGCTATGTGGGTGCTGAACCCAGGTCCCCCGCAGGAGCAGTCAGTGCCCTCAACTGCTGGGCCATCTCTCCGGCCTGATTTTTATTAAGTGTGTGCGTGCGTGCATGTGTGTGCGTGTGTGTGTGTGTGTGTGTACACATGTGAACGCGCACACTGTGTTCATGTGTCAGAGAGCAACCTTGCAGGGATCAGTTGCCTCCTATCACTTGAGTCCCAGGGATCAAATCAGGCCAGCAAGCTCCTCAGCAAGGGGTTTGCCTGCTGAGGCATCTCTGTGGGCCTCATGCTTTAAGGTTGTGATTGACGGGTCACCTCAAGTGCATTTTGTTGCTGTTGTTTAAATTCTCTGCTGCTTCCCAAAGAGCTTGAGACTCCAATGAGACATAGCTGTGGTCTTGGCTTAATTGTTTTTATTTTGTGTACACTGGTGTTCTCCCTGCACATATGTCCGTGTGAGGGCATCCCATCCCCTGGAACTGAAGTTCCAGACCGCTCTGAGCCACGTGTGGGTGCTACGAACTGAGCCCAGGTCCTTTGGAAGAGCAGCCAGTGCTCTCAACCGCTGAGCTGTCTCTCCAGCCCCAAAATGAGACGTAACTAATGCTGCACATGAGAAGAGCTTTGAGCATTCCCCAAGCGTGGTGCACACACCTGTCATCCCAGAAGCGAGCCAAAGGAGAACTGGGAGCTCAGGCCAGCTGATGCTGCAGTATGAGACTGAGCCAAAACACAGCAGCAAGAGCTTGTGAATCTTGACACCGCACAGGTCACCTGCTGCAGTCTACAGTTGACAGTGACGCTGGCAAGAAAGGAAACATACCACATTCTATAGTTTTTATGATTTGATTTTTGTTTGCAGAAACCTGTTTTCTTGCTTTCTCTTAGGCCAGGTTATCAAAGCCTGGGACATTGGGGTATCCACCATGAAGAAAGGAGAGATCTGCCATTTACTGTGTAAACCAGAATATGCTTATGGCTCCGCTGGCAGCCTCCCCAAAATTCCTTCGAATGCAACTCTCTTTTTTGAGGCAAGTATGTGTCCTGTCGCCTGGTCAGCATGTGCTGTGCTGCTACAGGGGGAGGAGCTGGGCCTGCCGCCAAGAGCCCACTCCAGCTTATTTATTTTGGAGCTTGGCTTCTTGAATTGTTTCCCACACACCCAGGGGATGTGCCAGTGCTTTCTTAGAAATGTGTCTCTGGCACAAAATAGGCATATCCAGACAAACAAAAGACGCAGGTGTAGAAATGCAAGTTCTGGTCAGCAGGGGAAGTAAAACACTCTCCAGACTGACAGGCCGGAAACGGCAGTGACCAGTGTTAAGTTGTGAAGGTTTATAACTGTCCCTTAATCTCTCTCAGGAGCAGTGAGTGGTGGCACATTGTTTACTGTGTTGAATTAATTACACATCTTTGGCGAAACTTGATCTTTATCTAACATGGTGAAAAGCGTATCTCAGTCAGTCAAAGGCGAGATTCTTAAGTCTTAAATTTTAAGGTGGAAAGTTTACGAATCTGGGGTGGGAAACTGGTGTCCTCAGAGTCAGACAGAGTGTTCCGCGCCAGCACCTTGCAGCTCTGGCCTTTTGCCCACAAGGCAGTTGTCCTAGTATTTCCTGTCTGTCTTTGCACTGCAGCCCCACAGGATGTAGACCTAGACGCTGTCATTACATGGAGTTCCTTCCAAGTGTTGCAGAGTCAGCGTTCTCCTCCCCGTTCCTCTTAGCTAAGCCATTAGATAAGATGTAGTTGAAAGTTTTATCAAGTAACTGTTTGCAAACTGGCTTTCATCTTTTCCATTCTAGATTGAACTCCTTGACTTCAAAGGAGAGGATCTATTTGAAGATTCAGGCATCATCCGTAGAATCAAACGGAAAGGAGAGGGGTATTCGAACCCAAACGAAGGCGCGACAGTGGAAGGTGAGTTGTGCTGCCGGGGGCCAAGGCTTCTGTGGTGCTGCGCAGAGCCCATCCTTAGGCTCTCTGTGTCAGAACAGTCACTGTGAGAACTTGCTGCTCTCTAGAGGACCCTTTCTGGTTCCCAGCCCTGCATCCACCAGCAGCTCCAGTTGCAGAAAACCAGTGTCCTCTTCCAGCCTCCATGGTACACACACAGTATTAAAAAATTAAAAATAAAATGATAAATGCATTGAATGTATATATCACAAGAACTGTTTCATACTCAGCCTTCATCTAATGACTTCATTTGGTAAATGCTAAGTTAATGTGTGTTCCAGGCATCTGGCAAACTGTAAGCTCAAAAATACAGAAACAGTAGTTCTGTCTGCTAAGGAATTCTCAGTTGCTCGGATCCCTGGAGGGCATTTATTTCTCCTTTCTCACAGTAACCTTAGGAGGTGAGATTTATTACCCCCAGTTGAGGAAAATCAGTTCAGTGATGTCATGTAAATGGCCCAAGATTTCGGAGCTACTGAGCAGAACAGTGGAGTTGGACAGCAGTGTTCATTCCGTATGGGGTGGCCTGGGACCGAGTACTGTTTTGACAGTTGCCAAGCCGACCTGGAGCTATTTTCATTTCTTCATCTGAAGACTGGGAGGCTGAGGCCCTTTCTGAGCACCTCACTTTCATCAGTGCTTGCCCATCTGCCTGGGGACCAGGATTTTGCTTTATCACTTTCTTTTCAGCATCTGCAGTGTCTGACACACACCTGACAGTTCATAAAAGCTTTCTGCACTGTGCATGTTTGAAGATGTGGTTACTGAGCTGATGTCTTCAAAAGGGAGTTGTAAGAAGACATCCTTCCAGAAAGAAAGTCAAGTCACTAAAAAGGAACATTTCTGTGCTATCAAAGGCATATGTAGAAGAAAGTTTATCGAAAAGAACTAACTTGAGTGAGTTTCTTATTTTTAGTATGTATGTACTATTTAGACCCATATTTCATTGCACCAGTCTAACGAAGTTAATTCAGGTTTAGTTATTTTCTTATTAGGAGCAATTGTAAATATAGCAGCCACTGTGTTAGAGCTGGCATGTCATTCAGGACTCTAGAACAAAGAGCTCAGGCAGGAGCAGGACCCTGGGGCGAAGGCTGGCTCTAGACTTCACCTGGCCATTCACCCCTTCCTAGACTGAGGCAGTGCTCGCCCCAAAAACCCAGAGTGGGAGTCATGCCTAAGAAAGTCACAGGATAGAGACAGCTGTGACAGCCACTAAAAAGCTTGTGTGTAACATGTTTTAATCTTTTATATGAAAAATTCAAATCTATACACCAGAGTTGGTTTGGTTTTTTTTGTTGTTGTTGTTGTTTGTTTGTTTTTGTTTTTTTTTTTTTCCTGTGTGATGGGAACTCCTCCAGAGTCAATGATTCATAATGTTTTCTTTGCATTTGATTTGCTTCTTGAGACAGGGCATTTGTCAAGGCCAGGAAGTTAGCGTCGACATGGTCCCATTCACTGTCCCCCACCCATCACCACACTAACTACTCTCCTACTCTGAATTCAGGTCCAGACTCTTGAGCTGCATTTAGCTCTCATGGCTTTACTTCCTTCCAGTAAATTACAGTCTTCATCTTTGTTCCCTGTGACACTGACACTTTTGAAGACAGGTTCCCACTGGTAGAGTAACCCCAGTTTACACCGTCTCACGCTTGCGGTGAGGGGGCTGAGGGTTTGGAGGACAGCCTGTTGGTGATGTTCAGGTCATCAAGAGGCGCGTGGCGTTGTGGCTAGCAGCAGCTGCGGGGCGGGTAGAGTCTCCCGTGTCAAGCTGTCCTTTGTAAGCGCCGAGTATCTCAGGAAAAGGGATGATGGGAAACCACCAGTGTCTCCTTTACATCCTGCCTTCACACCTCATGTCCACTAGTGAGTTTGTGGACAGCAGTTATTACTGTGGCGTTTGATTTCTGATAGCTGTGTTTTCGTTTTGCATTTATTAGTTGGAATTCTACTGCAAGGAAGATCTCTCCCTTCTCCCTGAGTTTCTTTGGCCGTTTGCTTTTGTCAGCATGCACCTAGAGATACTGTTTCCCCAGTAAGAGGTTCTTACTTGCTGCTCAAATTGCCCCAGATTTGGCTGTTGGAAATGCCTCCCAGTCAGCTCTTTCCACCACATTGCTGAGTTCATTTACTGTTTGTGAGGAAGATTGTCAACTGTTTTTGTTTTGTCTTCCTCCCTTTATGATACTTTAGATATGTGAGATGTTCTAGGCTCACTTTAAAATTCCCTTGTCCCAGTCCTGGAATCGACCATTTTTCTAAGGAGCACCATTTCCTTTCCTTGGAAAATAGTATTGAGAAACTGAGTCAGGTGCTCATGTGTGTTTGTATGGTGGGGGCTTCATACCCTAGAGCAGCTTAGCAGACAGAGCTTGGAAATACACTTTGAAAACATAGACAAGCATCTGTGTGGATTTCTGTATCAGTTGCATATGTATTTGAAACAGTGAGTATAGGGCTCAGCAGTTAAAAGCATTAGCTGCTTCCCCAGAGGGCCCATGTGCAGTTCCCAGCGTGCACATGGCAGCTCACCACTCTCTCTAACTCCAATCCCAGGGGCTCTCAAGCCCTGTTCTGGCCTCTGAGGGCAGCAAGCACACATGTGGTACATTGACACACATGCAGGCAAAACACCAATGCACAGAACAAGGCATTAAAAGCCTTGAGTGCCTACGGTTCCATTCAGCACCACAGTTTGCTCTCGGCTCGTCTGGAACGTCTTTTCCAATACATTCACAGTATGTTTACATATGCAGCCCTGCGTCAGTCACCCCTGAGCTGCCACACATTAGGGTGCACACCTAAGAGTCTGAGTCTCTGGGCTCGGGGGTGGTCAGCCGTGGGGTACTTGCGGGCTTTGCAGGTTGTATTCTGAACTTTTGAGTGTGGCATTGCTGCCTGTTTTATGTCTTCAGACCAGACAAGGTTAACGACATTGAGCATCTAGTCTTCTCACGTGTAAAATGGGCTGATTTTCTTCCTATTGAGTTGTGATAGGTGTGGCAAAGGGACTCCTGTGTAAATGGACTTCCTTTTCCTACGCTCTGTACGGTATTTGCAAAATTGCAAAATTTGTTTTTGCTTCCTTTCACTGGATTTAAGGAAAGGAATTGTTTTTAAAGATTTATTTATTTATGTCTTTATGTATGTATGTATGTATGTATGTATGTATGTATGTATGTATGTATGTGTTATTTCTACAGTGTTCTGCCTGCATGTGTGCCTGCAGCCAGAAGAGGGCACCAGATCTCATTATAGATTGTTGTGGAAAGGAATTCTTGACTCCTTTCAATTCCTATACCTAATCCTTGGTTAATTTGTCTCTGTTAGCAGTCTTCATTTTAATTATGTCTTCTTAATAGTCATAGGTTTTGATTTTGGATTTTGGATGGAAGGCTTTTAAATCATAATCTTTTGTGTGACTTTTTGGGTTTGTGAAACGTATTTTTTCTCAAGACATTATGCTTTTTACTCTTACTAAAAATCTCATTTTTATAGATCAGTCATGCGTTCTCTTCTTCTGGGCTTTTTTTTTGCCAAGTGAAATTGCTGTCTTGTCATTTTCACTCAGTGTTGTCCTCTCTCCATCATGAAGAAGTCAGAGGGTCCTGAGTGTTGTGAGTGTTGTGATTGTGATGACTGATGCTTTAGTCATGACAGGTCAGCTTATCCCAGCCCTGGCTGCATGGTCACCTGTAAGCTTTGCTGTCCTAGCCCAGTTACAATTGAGTAGGGCTTTCAAGTAGCTCCCGTCCCTGTGGTGCCAACTCCTCCTCTTTTGGGTTTCTGATTGTTAGTGTTGGTGATAGGAATTGACCACAGGAGTGCTGGCTGTGTGGGGCTCTTCCGTCCCACGCTTCCCGCTCCATTTGATGTCGTTGCAGGGGAGCGTGTTTTCAGATGCGCAGTTCCAACTGTAGTCTTTGAGGAGAGTTTCCTTTCCCTCTCACCTCCTAACCCAATGGTTAGGAGGAGTGAGGGAGTTACTTTTAAAAACAGAAGGTCATGGTGGCCCACACCTTCAAACCCAGCACTCTGGAGGCAGAGGTAGGAGGATCTCTGTGAGTTCAAGGCCAGCCTAGTCTACCAGTAAGTTACAGGATAGCTAGAGCTACATAGTGAGACTCTGTCTCAAAAAATAATAATATTTTTTTTATAGAAAAGAAAGTGGGATCAGAAGTGCGAGTTTATGAAATATATAAAGTAGATGGACTTGGCCCGATGGAAACTGTATTCTTTAAATCCAAACCAAAGCAGGTGTTGAGAAGACCTCTGTAGAGGTACATACCGTTCTTCTCAACAAGCTCGGGCAGAACTCCAAGCTCCGATCAGCTGGTGCAAGGGAGCCAAACAGGCTACGGGGCAGTCGTCAGACTGCTGTAAAACAGTATGGGGCAGCCGCTCCAGTAAGCCTCTGCCATTGTGACGCTCAGCCTTGGCTGAAGGAGAGTGAGCTCCAGGCCCAAGCCTCCAGCCCGTTCAATAAAAGTCTCAAAGGAGAGATTGGCAGAGGCAAATATTTTTTTAAACTCCTGGGTGACTGTAGTTTGCAGCCAAGATCCGGAAATGAACCGCCTGAAGATCTGCCTCCCTGTGACTTCTGCTCAGGGCTAAAGTGTGGTTCCAGAGTGCTTTGGGGACAAGCCTCAGAAGGCGGCAGGTGTTGGACTTGGACTGCAGAGCAGCAGTACACAGTGTCTTTGAATTTCTCAAGCAGATGTATTGGGCCAGAAGCTCCCCACGACAGTAAACAGTGCCTCAGCCTTGAGTGTGTAGTTGCTTAATAAATACTTGGAAGTCTTCACCTGTATCACCCGCAGAGACCCTTTGGGGAAAGGCTGTCATGTTGCCTGTTTACAACAAGAATGACAGATAACAGCAGCCATTTGGTCCTCTGACCCCCCCTGGGTTTATCTGTGGACAGCAAGGAATGGTCAGTGGGTGTGAAAATGTGTAAGAGAGAC